TATTTATTGCAATTGACCATAATGCCAGTTGGAGCGACAAAAATCGCAAAGATAAAGAGAATCACTGGGAACCACACCATTTGGACTCACTATTAGGAACGTTCTCCCAGTACACTAAATTAAACCAATGGCATTTCAATTTATTCTGGATAAATTATTTGGCTTATTTATTGAGGCTTGCCTCTAAAGTTTAGTTTTGGTCTTCCTGTTTATTCAATCAATCAATAAATCAATCATTTTATTTCCAATTCAAAGAATTTACAACAGATAAGTAGTAAACATTGAAAATCAAAATCAAAGGAATTGGAAAAAGGCAAACATAACAAGAAGAACTTTAAGCGGATTATTTGTTTAGGCTGTTTATTCTAATCTCACCCAGCCTATTGTTTCCAATCATGCTTGCATGAAATTCTCACTTTATACCATCTAGCTTTTTCTACCCTCACTCACTCGCCACTGAGGAAGGACTAGCCTGTCCCTACAGCCCAAGAAACCAGATGTTTGGTTTCTGTCTCTTATACACATCTTATCTCTACTGAGATCCAGCCATTGTTTCCCACAGCATTGTTGTTTTTCAGTATTTTGCCTTTTAATCTATATATCATTTTCTACTGTTTGTATCATTTTGATCCAACTCTGCTGTAATTCTGGAGGGTACTTTGGAAAATTTCAAATTTCTACGACGCTTGTCGGAAAAGCGCGTCAGGTATCGTAACCATATTATTATTTATCTTGAACATCGTTCTAACAATTCGGCTCCTAAAGGACTACAATTTCATGTCAGGTCTGGTATTCCATTCGCAGATCGTGACTTCCATTCCCGCTGGAATGGCGTCCTTAACAAAAATGCATGTCGATTAAATGAGGTCCTAATTAGCAACTGCCGCAAACTCCTCAAAGACATCGACAACCAAATTCACTTTAGGACTAGAAGGCTAAAAAGAGACCTTCCTATATCTGAGTTTCAAAACAAACTCAAGATTATTGCCAAGGACTGCCTTAAGCTTTCCAAGGAACTTTCCCTGAGGAGACAACACAAATTTGGTCGAGACAAGATCACTTCAACACAAGTGATCCAACCTTCGCACAATGTTTGGCTTTCACGTAAACCTAGAAGGTTCATTCGGCGCTTTAGTGATAATCCGTGCAACACCACGGATTCAGTTGTTCAAATTAACTGTCAGCTTTCCGAAGGAGAAACCAAACTTCTATCCCGAGGACTCAAATTTTGCCCAAAACCGAGGCAGGCTGACCCACAACAACTATCTTTGAATCTGGAAGCTTTTTTCCGACGTTTAAGATGCCGTGAATTTTTCGCCGATTCCGACGGCAACACCACAGATAACACGGGCAATGTTACCAAATTCAAACCTAAAAGTACCTGGAATCCCCCTAAGAATCGTTGCCCAGCTTTAGAAACTTTCATTCAGGCCATTGAGGAGGACGTTAAAAACCACACTCCTAGTTCAGATTTCCGCGACAATCTCACAAAAAATGAGAGGCAGGCCATCGCCAATTTGCGTCAGCGTGATTATATTATCATCAAACCAGCTGATAAAGCTCTGCCACTGTCGTAATGGACACTAAATTCTATGAAGAGGAGTCTTTAAGACAACTAAACAATCCTCTTCACTATCGGAAGCTCACAGAGGACTCCACTCCGGAAATTTCTAAGGAAGTGGAAAAATCTGTATTAAAGATGGTTAAAAAAGGTTCCATCGATCCCAAAATTGGACCCCATCTCATCCAGGTCGATCCGGCACCAGGACGTTTCTATGTCCTACCCAAAATCCACAAAGCAGGCCATCCTGGCAGACCCAATATTTCGGGCAACGGTACTGCAACAGAAAAAATTTCTGAATATGTGGATGATCTATTGAGACCATATGTTGTTGCTCTCCCCTCGTACATTCAGGACTCCACGGACTTTATCCGCAAAAGTAACCAAATTTCAAATTTACCTAATAATACTGTTCTGGCTACACTTGATGTTTCGTCATTATATACTAATATCCCTCATGAAGAAGGTGTTAATGCGTGCATTTCAAATTACATGCAAATTCGGGGCAAAACCCCATCTAAATCACATCTCCGTGAACTTATCATGCTGATTCTGACCAATAATAACTTTGTTTTCGGCGACGGTCATTACCTTCAAATTCATGGCACAGCGATGGGCACCAAAATGGCTCCATCGTTTGCTAACTTATTTATGGGACAATTTGAGGCCAATTTCCTGTCCCTACAGCCCAAGAAACCAGATGTTTGGTTTCGTTACATTGATGATATCTTCATGATCTGGACCCATGGTGAAGATAGTTTGGACACGTTCCTATTGAACATTAATTCGGCTCATCCCAGACAGTCCACAAGCAGTGTAGATTTTTTGGACATCACCGTGACCATGGAAAATGGTGCACTTAAAACTGATCTCTTCCGTAAACCCACGGATAAGCATATGTACCTGCTCCCTAGCAGCTGTCACCCCCCGCACAGTACAAAAAACATTCCGTACAGCCAAGCATTGCGCATGAGACGCATTTGTTCTTCGGATTTAGATTTTCAGAATCGAACAGAAGAACTATCCGGACATCTCCGGAATAGAAATTATCATCGAGGACCCATTGAAAATGCTATAAAAAAAAAGCAAAGGACATACCTCGTGCTCAAACACTGACGTACAAACCACGTCAACGATCGACAAGAGTGCCACTGGTCACTACCTATCACCCTAGGTTACCACCACTAAGGGCTATAATTCAGAAACATATGCCCATTCTACAGACCACAGAACGTCTTAGGTCTGTTTTTCCGGATACACCGTTCATAGCCTATCGCAGAAAACCTAACCTTCGTGATATATTAGTACGATCTAAATTCAAGAGGCAAACTAACTCTTGCGACAAC